CTGTGTATATTATTTATTAACAGAGTTATTTTTTAAAAAGGCGAGAAATGTACCAAAACAGTAAATCTCTGACTAATTGATCATTACATCACATAACATTTTTTTTACAATCTAAGGGCAAATCTGTGAAATCCGGAATTTAATGTTGCTTTTGGATTGAAGGCAGCTGTTTTGTAGAGAGCAAATTCATGGGTGTGAATAAAGTCTTAAACTGGTAGTTGTCTCCCTCTATATTCTAATAATGCTTATTTCTGGATTACTATTACAATCACAAAACCTCATTCATAATTATTTCTTGCTCTTCAGGGAAAGCTGACAGCTAGGGAGCGTGTTCTTCTCTTATTGGATCCTGAAAGTTTTGTAGAATATGACATGTTTGTGGAACACAGATGTGCAGATTTTGGGATGGAGGCTGAGAAAAACAAGGTACCTGGTTTGTGTTTATTTTGTTTACAGCCTTGGACTATATCATAGAGAAATAATCTGACTGGGTTAACTATCTGAGTCTGGGATGGCCATTGGACTACTCTAATAGAGAGAGAGATAGATGAGAATGGCCCACGATGGGACGGCATACAAATTAGACAGACAGACAGACAGACAGACAGACAGACAGACAGACAGACAGACAGATAGATGAGAATGGCCCACTCTATCTATTTAGAGCATTTGTATGCTGTGCCATCGCATAGCCTTGGGACGGCTTACATAAATAAAACATAATACAGATCTTTACTCTTACACATGGCTCTATCTTTGTTTATTTCCAATTATTTGCATGTGGTACTCAGAAGTAAAGGAAGCTGTGTGAAACTATGATACATGCAGCTCCCAGTACGGCTTAGCACCCAAATTTAAAAAAAGAGATTATTTACAAACAAAATGATGTCTAGAGTTGCTATGGAGGACCCAAAGATCTAAATTAGGCAAACTATGTTGTAAGCCGCCCCGAGGTTTCGGCAAGGGGCGGCATAGAAATGTTATAATAATAATAATAATAATAATAATAATAATAATAATAATAAACGCTCATTTTGAGAGTATTGGTATCTCAGGCTGCCATTTTATTTTTGAAATTGTCCCACCTGTTTCTGGCACACATGGGGAGTGAAAATAGTGTTAATTTTCTCCCAAATTTGTCCACTCTTGCCATAAATGATCTCTTATTTTTTGTGACTAGATAATCTGTTAGATACAGAATAAAACTTATTTGTTGGGTGTAGGTTAAATGTAGTATGAAATATGTAGCTTGCCCTAGATAACCAGTTAGCATTTAAAGGTTAGCAAATACTTTGGTCATTTATAACAACTTATTTTCATATTTAAGTATCTTGGTGTTCTGAACTGTAGGTTCTTTATTTTCTTTTGCAGTACCCTGGAGATAGTGTGGTAACTGGACAGGGTAGAATTAATGGAAGACTGGCTTATGTCTTCAGTCAGGTATTACTTTGTTTTGTTTATAACCTGTGACTGTTTCCCTTTGAAGCGTCACTAACTGATTCATATTTCTTAACAAATGCACTTTAGAGTAGACTTTTTTATGTGGCAGCTATTGTGGTCCTACGTTAAGAATTGGTCAGCAGAATCCCATTCTACCAATGTAATCTGAAACTGAGTGCAGGAGGCTCTGTGGCTTGTATCATTGTTTTCAACCTTTCCACAGCTGGAGACTGGTGAAAACAGGAATATCACTTTAGGGAACAGTAAGGCAGAAGCGAAAAGCACCATACACATAATACAGTATTCTATGCATTAGTTTCCAAACACAGTAACGCCCCCCCACAAAAAAAAAGTCTCCAAAACAACCAGGAACCAAGCAACAAAAAATGCCAACAAAAGAACAAAATACCAAAATGCAGTGTGGCTCCTAGCTGGCTCCCACTGAGCTGTCTCTTCTCTCCCCATTCCCCTGGCTGCACTAATACACCCCTGTGAATGTGATGCCACCTAAGGAAGAGGTGGCGGAGCACAGCCAGCCCCTGCACCTGTCCATGGCGAATGGGATGTAGCCCCCCATGGACCAGCAGGAAATACCTTGTGGACTGGTACCAGTCTGTGGACCAGCGGTTGAAAACCACTGGCTTATGTTGACAAAGTGGCTCAACACACTGATAGGAAACTTGGTAATACAGAAGAAGAGAGTTTGTGAATGGTCTGTGCCACTTTTGAGGTAGAAAGGGCTAGAAGAATATAAGGTTTTGAAAAACTTCAATTTCACCCCAATTTAGCCTATGGAGTTTGATTCACAGAATGGGAAGGGGAATAGAATGACACGTGAGTGCAGCCCTCTGGTGCAATGGCAGCATCTTTGACCCTAACATGCCACTGTTGAGAGATTCTGAGGTTACTGGAAAAAAAGATGGAAAGACCAAGACAGACAGTGGCTGCAGTAGCAGCATTCTTACCTTCTTGTAGGAACTGGACAGTAGATGCTTGACAACAAGCTGTAAGTAACTGGGCCCGCAGCTGCTTGAATCCTGCACTATGCAGCTGGAGGCAGGTACTATTTTAAGAATTAGCTTACCTTCAGGGAACATATCACGACTGGATTCCTTTCTCTCCATTTTATTTTATTATTCAGAGAGTAACTTACTTCGTTTACGCAGTTGAATGTATGTTTCACTTCTCCCTTTTCCCTGTTAAATAAATTCTAGTTCTTGTTTTTATATCCAAGTTCCTGACCTGTTTGTCAAATATGAATGAAAAATACTTCAGACTTGGATAGACTGAGGTTGACTAAATCTGGACCCAGCTTTTATAAATTGCAATTTAATAATTTCATTGTCTGAATTACTTCATTATCTTTAGCAGCTTTGGGTACCTTTTGTAGAAAGTGGGGTAAACATCTTGAAAGTAAATAAGTCAATAATAAAGCATTATTTTACTAATATTGAATTTTGTACTTACATAGCCTATACAGCTACTGGATTGATGTATATATGAGTTGAGGAAATGCTTTTCATAAGGGTCATTAGAAATAGTTGTCTTTGCTATTAATGTGGATGGGAGCATTCCTGAACTCTTGGCTAATTTACAGTCCAACATCCTTCAAGCTCTAACCTGCTCTGGCTAGGACATTTTTCTGTCTAAACATACATAGAATTATACTCTTAGTTTCTCTGGTTTGAGTCAAGGTTTTTCTAGCACTGAAAGTGGGCTGCTGCCCATCTGTAATGATATTCTATGCATTTTAATATTATATATATATTCATAATATATAATAGAATAATGTACTGTGTAAATTTCCAGGTAGAGCACTTTTATACTAACATAGGTTATGATCCATCTCCACACAGGAGGGATTGCTGCAGCTTTTCGACTTGCCCCTCCCATTACTTGTACTTAGGAACTTGCATTTGGCAAAAGGGAGGGGCTTGATGGGTGGGTTGTGCACAGGCATGCAGTTCAGTTCTGTGGAAGTCATGGTTCGGTGAGATGTGCTGAGTGTAGGCCTGTGTGTATACATGGAATCTCTGTGTGGTAGGGGGCAAGTTGAACAAAGCTCTATTGAAATCTTTGTAAGCATGGACAGTTCTGCCTTGTCTTAGGTTTGTTGTTTGCGGGGCTGTCTGACTAATAAATACTCTTTAAGAGCAAGAAGTTGTTAGCCTCCAAATTGAGGAACAAGCATGGAGCAAGTAGCTGAGCCCAGTCTTTAGCAGAGCAAGTTCTTTTACAAAATGTAAAATCTCACATGTTATTTCTTTAGGATTTCACTGTGTTTGGAGGCAGTTTATCTGGAGCTCATGCTCAAAAGATCTGCAAGGTAAGCATTGCAGAAAAATAATTACAAAACTGTCAGCTTGCAGAATGTAAGAACCACGATTTTCATACATGCTTTTAGAGTTAAATTCTGGTTCACAGGAATTCTTGGTTTTTAAGCCACTCTTCCACAGCTTGGCATCCTTAAGATGTTTTGACCGCAATGTTTTGGATATCAACTCCCATCATCCCCAGCCATCATAGCTAAGAAATGGCCAGAAATTTTGGGAAGCGTAGTCCAAACTATTTAGTACAGAATGCTACCTTGAGTCTTAGGACACATTTGTTAAAAAATATATACAGCTCATCCATGCTAACATTCTTATTTCACCAGGTATTTATCATACTGCTTACCATGGCCACTAAATTCTTTCTGCCCTGATATAACACTCTTTATTCATAATAGTTTTGTGTCTGTTTATTATAGATTAAAATACTTGACATCAAGTGCATTCACCACTATATTTACAGTCACAAGAGCATGTGAAAAGTGGTGATAGGAATGTTTAGCAAAAAGCAATTTTCTAGTAAAGTGTCAATTTTTGATGTAAGAATAGTGATTAATATATGATATTACTCCTTTTTATAGTCCTTTCCAGAGGACAGTCAGCCCATTCTGAACAATTCCAGTCAAGCTCTATAATGCTCTCCCCAGAGAACTCTGCCTGGAACCTACCTCATTGAACTGATTTACACAATTACCACAGCTCACTGTAGTTTAAGTCCATATGGGTTGAGGTGCATGCTGGCAGCAGTTTGGAATATTCATTACCTGGTGAGGGGGGGTGCTTTGTTTTTTATGTGGTTTAAGTACATCTGGCAGAAGCTGTTTGAGGAAGGAACACCCCTCCATTAATTTGTGGTCTGCCATAGGCTTATTTGAGGTTGTTTACCCTCAAACGCACTGCCTGAGTCTAGCTGACACCAAAAACCGTGGCAGATAAGCCATGGTGGGCTATGGTGATCCTGTGAATCCACTCACTTTTTATTTTTCTTTCAATACAATGTGCAGCTGTTTTATGCTGCTTTAGTAATATTTGTGCCCTTTTAATTTATTGTATTGTTATAGTTATACTTTAATTGTTCGCAAAACACTCTGGTAATATCAGTATAAAATATTTATAATGAATGAATGAATTAGGTTGATGTAGAAGCAGCTGTGAACATCTAGTTGCCCATGTTCTAGTAATACATCTACTTGGCTATCTTATTTCTAAAATTATTACTCCTTTACTTACTAGGGTATTTGTTACATTATAGAGCCCAGAACTGCCCAGTAAGGGATGGTCACAAGGTTCTGAAAGGAACACAAAAGAGTAGAGTTAATTGAGCATGCAGGTGAAATAGTAATTTTTTTCAGGTAGGCCAACCAATAGCTTTTCTGAAGAGGCAGAGGGTGAACTTTAACACATTTTGATTAAAAGTAAAAATTCCCTATCTTATACAAACATCAGCTAGTCTTACTGTAAGCCACATGGACTATTTTATGAGTCTGAAGCAGTATTATTGGTTAATTGTTAATTTCTTTTTACCAGATCATGGATCAGGCTGTGATGGTTGGTGCTCCTGTAATTGGATTAAATGATTCAGGAGGGGCCCGAATTCAGGAAGGAGTAGAGTCACTTGCTGGATATGCTGATATTTTTTTGGTAAGAAGCTTGTTAGGTAAGCAGCTTGTTAGGTGACCCTTGACCAGAAAAATATGAGGTATTATTAAAACTAAATAGGCTAGGAGCTGGTATAGACATTTGGAAAAAGCCGTAACATAGGAGGCATGAGTGCCGTGATGTTTCATTCATTCATTCAAAACTTTTATATGCCGTCACCACATGCCTCAGCATCTCTTTTAACCTTCTTCCAGGTCTAATGGAGAACTCACATTTTGTAAACTGCTTTGAGATTTAAAAAAAAGAAAAGTGGTATAGAAATTCTCTGAAATAAATAAAAAGGTAGGGTGGGGAGATACTGATGCAAGGACAGAATGCGCTTCTCTTTCCTCATCTTCTCCCACCACCACTTTTTATGGGATGGTATTAGGGTTTGCTAGACATTGCTGCTGGAAGTGAGAATAGAGTGGAGCCAACCTCTGAAATAAGGGTTTCATTTAAGAGACTGATCTGGTTCGTTCATGATGATCCAGAGTACAGCTTGAATTGTGGGCTGTCATTACATTTCTTGTTGTTGCTGTGTGCCTTCAGGAATCTCTGACTTAGGGTGACCCTATGAATGAAAGCACTTCAAATGTCCTATCCATGACACCCCTGCTCAAGCCTCGTAAATTCAAGGCTGTGGTTTCCATGACACCTGCACTGTGGTTTAACTATGAACAATCAGCAGTTTACAACAACAAACCATTGGTTCTTTTCCAAGGTTTACTTGATACCTAGCCTAGTCCATCATACTGTCTCTTTTGATTCTGCCAGCTGCTCTCCCTCCCATGAGTATTTTAATAACATCTGTTGGATTTTGCTAGATAATGCAGTTAATATTTAGTACCTTGTTTTAGCCCTCTCTTTTCCCTACAGCTGTGCTGCTGGGCAGCCAGATAGCTCCTGTAACAATAGTTACCTACATACCCTCTGGACAAAAACATGGATCCTTTTTATTGAGTAGGTGAATAGAGTAGAAGAACTTTGGCAGCGGCCTCTCCTTCCTTGCTGAGAGCAAAATCCTGATGCAAAAGGAGGGATTTATCTGTATTAGCTGTCAGAAGCATCAGTTGTTAGACAATGGAAGATTCAGAAAATGCAGGGCTTCTTTTAGAGGCTGCTGCATGAATTGCATCCTTTTCTTGGATACTTAATTCTCTGATGTGCCTCTGTCTTGTGCTTGCCTGCTTTTTTTTTTTTTTTTTTTGCTTCATTTGTTTCTGAGGCATGGGATTTTGCAAAAGTTTGATTAATCTGTAAAGTAGGGGATTCTGATTAATGGCTTAGCAAAAACCTAGAATAAATCTAATTTTGTTTTCATGCAGTTCTATATTTCTGCAACATGCACATTCATTTAATGTAAAAATTTGCCACAAGCTAAGGAGCATGGCATCTTCTGCAATAGTAACCATTCTGAGAGCTTTGGCTGGAAAGTGGCTTAAAATGTGTCCATTTTATTTTCTTTTACAGAGGAATGTCCTATGTTCTGGTGTAGTACCACAGATTTCTCTTATCATGGGCCCTTGTGCAGGGGGTGCTGTCTATTCCCCTGCTTTAACAGATTTTACATTCATGGTAAAGGTAAGGATGTAAAGTTGTCATTGATTGTAACCTTAAACAAATGTACTAGGGAACAAATCCCACTTAACACAATCAATTGCACATAATGCCAAACTGTGGAGAACACATGATTAGTTGTCCTTATCAGGGTTTATCTCACAGATGACTGAACAAAACCTAAATGTTTGTTTCTGGTATTTAATCTATATTTACCCATTTCCTCCCTGTATCCCATATACCCTTGCTGTGCTGTAGAGCAGATACTTCTGTGTGTACCTGCTGCTTCCGCAGCTGGTGAGACAACCCATGATTAGCCCATAGACCTAGGTTCATATGTAACAACCCAGGGTTTTAACACAATCCAACAACAAACTATGGGTTCTCTTTCAGGGTAGTTTGAGGTTAACAAGCCATAGTTTGTGTGGTTGGGTTTGCACATCATGACAGTCCAGAATTCAACATCTGTGCCATAAGTTAACATGATGTGCAAACCTAGTTGGTAAGACTTACTTCTGACTAAGCTTTCATAGGATAGTGCTGTTAAGATTTTACATACAGTCAGGACCTGGATATGTTAATTGGGGAGTGAGTGGAGGGTGGCAAGGAGAGCAACCTGGATTTAACTGCGCCTGTTACTTCATTTGATCATGTGTGTAATTCTATGCATCTGCTTTTGTAATATTGTCAGCTGTCTTGGGAGGGCAATGCAGCATACACATAAAACACATGTGCACATAAGATCCTAACAGCTGTGTGTGATTTTTGTGTGGAAGACAGCACACTGGGAAGCAAAGAGTATGCCATCTTCAGCTGCCATCTTCATGAAATTGTAGTGGGCTGTGTGGAGAGAAGCAGAAATCACTGTTCCTTCTGGGGTGCTTTGCTTCTCCACTGCACATGGAGGAAGGGGATCTCCTTTCTTGGAGTGCAGTGTGGAAGGGAATTGACTGCTTGGGGAGAAAGAGAGTGGAAGAGGAGAGAGTGCAAGCTGGATGGAGAGAGGCCATAAGCCAAATTTGGCCCAGAGGCTGGCACTTTTAAAGCCTGTGCTTTTAAAGCCCTAACCTAATGGAAAACATGTTTCACTGCTATGTTTTTAAAGCTGTAACTTGAAGTTGTAATTGTAAGCTATTCAGGTCTACATATTCTAGTTGTGTGCTTTCTTAAGCTGCTCTGGTAACATTTTGCTTCAAGAATTAAAGAGGTCTTATCTGGAATAAAAAGATTTGGACAAGATGTCAGAATAGGAATATTCAGTAGTACCATATCTGTACATAAAGTGCCATATACATTTGTTTTGCTATTTCTGTTTTCAGAGATTTAGTTATACATGTGTTAAGTTAGAGGAAATTCCAACTAAATGCTTTGTTGCTTCCAATCAAAATAAATTGGAAATTTGTATACTTTCCTGTGTTTCTGTATTGGAAATACATAAAGAGTGGAGAATGCAAGCACTTGAAATGCTGAACCATGTGTCTTATTCTTCACGTTTTGTTCGTTATATTTGTTTATCCAGGACACATCGTATTTATTCATAACTGGTCCTGATGTAGTCAAATCGGTTACCAATGAAGATGTTACACAGGAGCAACTTGGGGGTGCAAAGACACATACTACAGTATCAGGTCAGAATTAGCTAAATTGTTGAATAAACATATGCTTCTGCTTACTGTTTCATTATGAAGCGACTAGAGAAGAATATGAAGTACACTGTATTCTGGCCATATACAGTCAACATCATAGTTTAGTTTTGCAAAAAGTTAAAAAGTCCTTTTTTACCTAAAGTTTACCTAAAGTACTGCAGCAGTTGAAAGAGAACTGTCTTAGAAGCACTGAGAGTGCTTATTAGAGAGACTGAATATTTGAAATCAGAACTGCAAGGATCATGGGGGAAATACACTCCAACACATCCAGGTGTCCTCCAGATGCCTTTGCCCATCCATGTGCCCTCCAGATGTCTTGAACTACAGCTCCCATAATTCCCAGTCACTACAGCCACCTGGTTAATTAATGTTATTGCCTGCTTGATTAGGCCAAAGGTCCATCTAGACTAGCAACTCCAATTCCAAACAGCGGTCAGCCATATGCCCCTCATTGAGCCACACAATGAGGTGTAAAGGCAACAGCTTACTCCTTTGGTCTGTCTCCTTACCATGGGTAATCTCTGCTGAAATGTATAACATCTATGAATGTGTGAAATCCCTCTAAAATGTTATATAACTGATTGGCTGTCATTGCATATGGCAGTATATTTCATGAATTAGGCCCTGGCCATGATTGCCCAGGATAAGGTGCATGCTTGTACATGCAGCCTATTCATTCCTGCTTTGCTTTTCTCTGATAATGCTAAATTAACTAGAAACTGAAATCTTAGCATGCTATTTTCTTTCTTCGATAAGAGCCAGAATGTAGAGTGCAGGAGTGGAACTCGGAACATAGTCATGAATCCTCACTTGGTGACTTTGGGCCAGTCATGGACTCTTAGCCCAACTTATGTCACAAGGCTGTTATGATGATAAAGTAGGGTGGAGAACCTTGTAAACTACCTTAGGTTCCTTGCAAGGAGGGGTATAAACTGAATGTAATAATCACAGTCATAATAGAAAGTAGGGCTTGTTCTTTGTTTACAAAGCTTGACTTGTTTTGGAGTGATATACCAGGATCATTGGTTTGGATCCATGCTAAGCCTTCCATTTCTGGCTTGTTCCTCATCTGTCCTGCTGCTCACTTTCACTGGGTGATCACACCTTTCTGCTTCATTTACAGTTTTGTCAATCTCCATCACATCCTATGGAATCATACTTTTCTAAACAAAAAGTTCCCAAATGCCTTCTCAGGAATGTGGTCCAACTGCTCAATACTGCTAAATACAATAAAAACAAAGTGTGACCTACTCTTTTTGTGTCTTATGAGCAAAGCATAGTTAAAACTGAAGAGTATAAATAGACAAAGAAGAATTTCTACATTTGCTGGAAAATGTATGTGAAACACATACAATCCTGTATCTTCTACCTGGGAGTGAGTTCCATTGAACTTCATGGGATTCCTTCCAAGTAGATAGGCACAAGTTTGTACTGTTCATCTTGTTCTTCAGTATACTAATCCCTTGGTGAATCTTAATAACATCCACTAGCATTAATTGTAAAGTGTCAACATTCTAAATTCTAATTCTAAAGTGTCATCATTTTAGAACTTTAAAAATAATTGATTATGAAAGCCTAATTATTTCTCTTTGCTATAAAGATCAGTTAAGAGAGGTGCAGTACTTCTCTTTCTATACCTTAAATGAATTTTAGCTGGCCTTTGCTTGTGCATTTTGGTCAAAGTGGGTTTTAAAGACTTTTAAAAAAGTCTTTCTAGTAGTTGCCAACTTCTTTGTTCAGTTTGAAAGTTCTTTGCAATGCCAGATTTGTTTCCTTCACAGGTGTTGCACACCATGCTTTTGAGAATGACATCGATGCTTTGCTCAATCTCAGAGAGTTTTTTAATTACCTGCCTCTCAGTAACAAGGATCCAGCTCCTGTCAGAGAATGTCATGATCCTAGGTAAGTAGCTAAATAGTTTTATAAATAGTAAAGGTTCAAAGAATCAAAATGTGCATCAGAGTTTAGCTCTCTGCAGAATTGGGATTTTCTAGGCTTCTATGTCCCTTTAACCTGACATTTGCCTTTCTTTCTTTCTTTCTTTCTTTCTTTCTTTCTTTCTTTCTTTCTTTCATTCATTCATTCATTCATTCATTCATTCATTCATTCATATCCTGCCTTTTTCCTCAAAGGGCTCAAGGCAGCTTACATCTCCTCCTCCATCTTATCCCCACAACAACAACCCTGTGAGGTAGGTTGGGCTGAGAGTCTGTGACTGGCCCAAAGTCACCCAGTTGGCTCCATGGCCAAGAGGGGACTCGAACCCGGATTGCCTGAGTCCCAGTCCCATGCTCTTAACCACTATACCACACTGGCTCTCTTGGAAGGTCTTCAGTCCAAAATTCATGTTCCCAAAAGACTAAACTCCCAGCAGTAATATTAATGGGGAAGAATGTGGTTAAAAAACTACAGATCCTTTTGATGGAAACAGCATTTTAGAGTGAATTGCTAACTGTTCTCAGGTTTCTTCATACATAAGCTGGGAGTAAACTCTGTGAAGAGTGTGTGCATGTGTGTGTGTGTGTGTGTGTGTGTGTGTGTCTAATATAGATATACTGGCTATGGTAGGACAGGCAAGAGAAGTCATCAGCAGGGATTGGTCTCTGTGGAACTTGTTGCTGTGCAACTAAACCGCTGTGGCTGTTGATATGCAACCATGAGTTTCATACACTGAATTTTTAGAAAGAAAACTTAGCCAAGCAAGAACTACAAATGATGAACTTCTGTATGATGCTAGCCAAACTCCCGAGCAAAAGGATCCAAAGGCAGGGGCAGGAAGGAGTAATTCTAAACAGTTCCAACTGATAGGGTAGGAACTGGACAGAAGAGCATTGGAAATGTTCCTGTACCCTGTGTGTGAGAGAGATCACTTGCATGGAACACAGAGGTACCATGACAAAGTTGTCTAGGCTGGTGAGCAGCTGTAGATAACGGCTGTTGTGTTTTGTGCCTTAGATCTAGGCTGATAAAGCTTGTCAAGTACACCATTAGGATCATTAGGATCAAACTATACTTGGTTCAACTTACCTGAGAATCATTCATCTCTGTACTGTAGAGGTGGGTAGGTTAACCTGCTGCAATACCATGTAGCTGGCTGTTCTCTTGAGCAAGGAGGTAGTAAGCAAGGTTTACCTGTAGGATCATCAAAGTGAAGTTTAAATACTTTACTAACAATAGGGATGTTCTTTGCAGGAGTAAGATCTAATTCAAGAGCTGACTTCACCTTGTAAGCAGAAGAGGGAGAATTAGAAGATGATGATTACTTTTGAAGTACATGCATTTTGTCTACATGGCTTATTTCATAATTGGTAGTCTCTCATTACCAAAGCAAGCAAAAAATGCAAAACAGGGAACACTTGCCCTTGCATAAATCCTAGGTACAGTTGTTCGACTAGAGGCTGGATGCAAATGTTGTCACAGTTCATTTAATCTAAAGCTCCAGATGCTAAAGCAGAAAAGGCAAGAACACCTGAGAAACACAGAGGTTTTTTTTTTTTTTTTTTTTTTGCTGCTGTTGCTATTTTGGCATTGATTTCATGCCAAATGTACTAGATGCCAATGACCATGACATCCCTGAGGAGGTTGCTGAGGAGTATCTGCATTAAGTGAAGAAATTATCTCCTTCTGAGCATTGTCATTTTAATGTGTTTTTTAGATGTCTCCATGTCAGCATGCAGTATGGTCCATGAACAGACAAACGTTTGTGTAGGCATGAACAAACTGTGCATGTGATGTTGGAACAGAAATTAAAAACAGCATTGCACATTTTTGACTGTACAATAAATGAACTTTGACATAAAAATGGATGATGTGGTGTAAGTTTCTTGCTTTTTATTCCATTTGTTTAAAGCAACCGGTTGGTTCCAGAGTTGGATACAATTGTTCCAATGGAATCTACTAAAGCATATGACATGGTGGATATTGTACATTCGGTAAGCTCTGGGCACCAGCCTATTCTAGAATTTTGGTAATGGAATACATTTATTTGTTAGATTTGTCTGCTGCCCAAGAGAAAAATGTTCTTGGGGCAGTTTGCAATCATAAAACCAAACAACAGCAAGAAAATAACCAAAAATAAAATAAAATGCAACAATGAAACTAACAAATGAATATAATTCTTTTCTCTACCATATTCTCTTCCCCATTCACTTCCTTTCTCTATTCACAAAATGAGTTCACTCAGATTCTCCCCAATTGTTTTTCTCCCCTCTGCTTCCCAACTTGTTCTTTTGGAAGTTAATTTTCTTCTCTGAAAATCTCCCCTCTCAAATTCTTTCTTAATGATCCAAATACCTCTCAAGTTATCTTTTCTGGATGTGGGCTGGAAAACTCACTGTAACAAAGATTAGAGATACAGATTCTCACAGATATGTGTCCTTCTGCTAACGGAATATTAGAATAGCACTATTCATGATGCTCTTTTATGATTTTACTAATTAGCCATATAAAAGTGTAATTGTCATGTATAAAATTGTGCTTTACTGCATTTTTGGCACCAGTCTGCTATGGAAAAAAACGTATAACCAGACTTTTGAGAGCAGAGCATTGTAAAGGATAAAGAAAACCCTATTTCAGATATTTTACATGTTGAAATTGTCTCATGCAAGGGAGATGTGTACAGTAGTGAGCATATTCATCACTCTGAATCTAATTTGTACAGATTGTTGATGAGAGAGAATTCTTTGAAATCATGCCCTCCTACGCCAGAAACATCATAGTTGGGTTTGCCAGAATGAATGGAAGAACTGTAGGAATAGTTGGCAACCAGCCCAAAGTAGCATCAGGTAAGCGCAAACTGGCAGCCCCTGGGAACCTGCACGTCTGAGAAATAAGGCTGGGAAATCTCTATTTCTGCTTAATGTTCATTGTCTATTGTTGAAATAACTGAGTATATTTGTGGGGTTTCTTTCTAAGGTATTTCTCCTCTTAAGTATTTTTTCTCTTTGATAGAGTTTTGGTTTTTGCTGTTAAAACATATGGTTTTATATCCTAGTATTCATGCTGCTTTCCTCTTGCCCTAGTTAAGTGCATTATATAATTATATGTTAGTGGCAAGGTATTTGCCTTCAGAGACAAGCACTTGCATATACTTCCTGTAAGAACGTATTTTATGTTGAAAAGCACGGCCAGCAGAAAGTGGTAACTCGTTATGACTGAAAGATTTCTAGGACTAACTTGGCAATTACACTGAGACAAAGATTTCAGACAAGACCTCTTATGTGAAGTATCTGGACGGGATTGTGGTTACAAATATAAAGTACATTATTCTGGTAGTTTTATGTAAATGTTTCATCTTTGAAGATAAATAACTGGGGTTTTCTGTGCTCAGTGCCATTCTAGATTTGGAAATAGAATACAGCTGTCATACTGTTAATATTTTAATTTTTTCCCCTGGAGAGGCCTTATGTTAAAACAACTTACAGAGCTCAAAGGTAGTCAGAAAGCTGATACTTGTGATAACAGAAAGTACCCATATTTATAAAGATAGCATAATATAAAATGAGTGTTCAGTATTTGACACCAGAATAGCAAATGATCACTTGTACATTGTATCATAAATGCTTCTAGTGCTGTGCATTTATGGGATATAACTGATGCACTGAGTTCTGTAAATGAGTGCTTTTAAGTGGCTTGGAAAGTCTTGTAACAGGATTGCTTAATTTTTCTGAAAACTAGGCTGTTTGGACATAAACTCCTCTGTGAAGGGAGCCCGTTTTGTTCGCTTCTGTGATGCTTTCAATATCCCTTTGATAACATTTGTAGATGTACCTGGATTTTTACCAGGTAGGTTGTTCTACATCCTTGTTTGTAATGATTTAAGTAACTAAATGAAAGACACTTTACTTTGAGTCTTCTTACATTCTCAGTTCCCTTGGCTAAAGAATAAGGGATTGCCTTTTCCAGGAAGTACAGAGGCAAAACCTATATTCAGTGGCAGAGAGTGCTCAATCTTTGTATCCCTGTTGGATATGTAGAATACCCTTCTAACTCTTAGTGTTGTGATAACTGATACAAAGGTCACCAATTCCTTGCAAGAGCTTAGCAGAGCTTTGAAATCTGCTATAATGAAAATATGTCAATCCATGCTCAAGGAAGTGAGAGGATTTGCATTTTCATTCAGCTTGGCTGCTATGGACTTCTCTTCACAAACCATTTACTGTATGCACATGCTCATTCCTCATGAGAGTTTGCCACTCCTTCACACAGTATCATCCTCCAGAGCCTGGCCTGGGTTTTTTAGCCATTGTTGTAGCAACTTTTTAGAGTGAAGAAAGATAGGTGTTATTTCTTATCATATTATGAAGTACTACAAAATGGCCATTCATTTTTGCAATTATACTGTATTGCAGTGCCAGCTTATAGTTGTGTGATAGAACAAATAGAATGGGAGAGAGAGAAAACTCCTGGATAGAAAATCATGTATAAAGGATGTGCTGCTGCTGCTTCTGCAAAGAAACCTGAAGAAGTCTCAATAAATTGGCAGGTTAAATGCCTTGCATAGAGAAGCCCTGTGTCTCATCCTTTTATAAGCATACAACTAGTTAAGCATCTGTTAAACATCAGAAAATAGTTTTGATCTGTATATTTCTATTTAAGCTGCATATATGGGGCTGCATTTCACCTCATGAGTGCCATGTGTGCAACTTTCATTGCATTGCCCTGTATTAAGGAAAACGGCCCTACAGAGGCTGCTTATGGTGTTTTCTCTTCTGCTGGTGGACATATGGAGCTAATGGGATGTCTGCTCTTCCTTTAGGCAATTGTCTTAGGTGACCAAGTCAGTGCTGAATTGACATTCATAGAATGGATGCATTGGACCATTTAGTTGCAGTTATTAAAATAATCAGTGTATGATAGATTTCCTTATAATAGAAAGAATTGGCTCCATAAAGCAATTTTAGTCAAGCAAAGAATTGCCATGTGGAATATTTGTTGGTGTCACAACAGGGCTGTAAATGTGATAGGCTACCAGTTGTAAAGGTTTGGTGCAGACATGCATGTGCCTTCATTCTTTAAATAAAAGCTGAAACTTTAAGTGCTATCATGATCAGGGATGGGTGCTCAGCATTTTGTATTAAAAATCATCTCCCTGAGGCAGTAAGATTTTTGTAAAATGCTTTCCTGTTGTTTCCAGGGACAGCCCAGGAATATGGTGGGATTATACGCCATGGTGCAAAACTACTCTTCGCTTTTGCAGAAGCAACAGTACCAAAAATCACTATTATCACAAGGAAGGTGAATAAAAAGTGTATTTTACAGCTGTTAGTTGTCATACACTCCTGAGAATGCGTAGAGGATGTTTCATCTTTGCTCATAAATTGGCACTTTCATGTTCTGCCCATCTTTGATTGTCCTGTCTATATCTATCATTCATTCATTCATTCATTCATTCATTCATTCATTCATTCAATCTATCTATCTATCTATCTATCTATCTATCTATCTATCTATCATTCATTCATTCATTCATTCATTCATTCATTCTATCATTCATTCATTCATCATTCATTCATTCATTCTATCATTCTATCATTCTATCTATCTTCTCTATATTTTTAATGTCTGGAGTGCTTTATGTTCTGTATTTTACACTGCTGCTTAATTTCTCTAGATGACTGTCAAGTTTTTTTTTAAGAAATATTGCTTTCAAGGTCATTTCTATCCTAATGATTTGTATGATTTAGAAAATGAATGTAGTAACCTTACAGGTACATGTATTCCTTCTTTCTATTTTAAACCAGTCACAACCTGACATCTTGGGTGATATAATATTATTAGGAAGACATTATTCAGGCTAATTGCCTGCTGCCTGACTTGATGGATTTTGGGCACCAAACCAAGACTTCAATTAAAAAAAAAATCTTCCACTCTTAGTCTTATAGTACCAGCTTAGAAATTTAAAATACTGTATTTTTGTTGTATATATTTAGTTGTTATGCTCTAATACTGCTAGCAGCACTGTTCTATATACATCCACACATAGTCCTATTGCATTCAAGAAGATATAGGATTTTAACCTAAGTGTTGCATTTAGTTTTTAGGTGTATCATCACAGTAAGATTTGCTTTTGTGGTTTGTTTAGTGGCTTGCATTGGTGGAAGGAGCCAAGTGGGCGCACACAGAGTGTGTATGTATAGTCACACACAGCATGTTTGTGCTTAGCCAGGATAGAATTCTGGCTCAGCATCATGTGAGAATGTGCCCTGTGTTGGAGACTTCCCTATGGAAAAGGAAAAAGGGCTAAGGGAAGCAGTCCTTTGCATGTTTAGACTGGAAAATTCCATATAATTCTCCCAGCTTTCCCAGCCAGAAAGCTGTTAACTTGGTGGTGTAATCTTACCAGTGTGTCACAGGGGAAAGTATGACCAGTGGTGAAAACCATTCTCATTATTTTAACTGAAATATATTGATGGCCTTACCAGTACACAATGCCTAAGTATTATCTTCCTATGTAAGATAGTGTGGGTGCAGGTTTGTGTGTTCAAGAACCACCCAAGGAAAAGCACTGTCAGAGTTTACCTTATGAAGGTGGTGAAGATGTGGCTGATCTTTTCCTGTCAGAAACTATCTTGTGCATTTAGGGATATTGGATGAGATGTGTTGCCAGGGTCACATCAAATGGCCACCCTATGGAAGCTTTTAAAACATTTGCTTTGTCAGGTGGAGGCTTCTTGAGAAACAGGGA